TTTTTCCAGACCGCCTGCAGGATTATGTTGGAAAAGAAGAAGTTTTCTCTGAGCAGCAGTTCTCTGACAAGGAGAGGAATTCCAGTTTGGACCAAGCAGAACCAGAACCTCTGCAGATAAAAGAAGAGCAGCAAAAGCCAGAAAGTCCCTCAATAAAAGAGGAAACCATGGAGCTCCCCATAAGTAAACATGGAGAGCAGCGTGTTCTGGAGCAGGAGACTAGAGATACAGGAGAGAAACCTTTCCCATGTTTAAGATGTGGAGAAAGATTTCTAAAAAAAGAACATTTAAAGGTTCACATGAGAATTCACAGAGGTCGGAAGATTTACAAATGTCAGTCTTGTGGAAAAACCTTCAAATCTAAATTTTATATTAATAGACACATGAGAACTCACACAGGTGAGAAGCCTTTCACATGTGAGTCCTGTGGAAAAAGCTTTTCTCAGACATGTGATCTTGATAAACACACCAGAATTCATACAGGTGAGAAGCCGTTCAAATGTGAATTCTGTGGAAAAGGCTTTTGTCAGACGTCTGATCTTTATACACACACCAGAATTCACACGGGTGAGAAGCCGTTTTCCTGTACTCTTTGTGGCAAAAGCTTTAGTAGAAAAAATAACTTGACTGCTCACATGAGAATTCATACGGGTGAGAAACCTTTCAAATGTGAGTCTTGTGAGAAAAGCTTTACCGAAAAAGGCACTCTTGATAAACACAGCAGAACTCACACAGGTGAGAAGCCTTTCAGATGCGAGTCCTGTGGAAAAAGCTTTTTTCGGACATCTGATCTTAACAAACACACCAGAATTCACACTGGTGAGAAGCCGTTCAAATGTGACTTCTGTGGAAAAGGCTTTTCTCATAGAGTTGATCTATATAATCACACCAGAACTCACACAGGTGAGAAGCCATTCTCCTGTAGTCTCTGTGGAAAAAGTTTTATTAGAAAAACTAGCTTGACTTCTCACATGAGAACTCACACAGGTGAGAAGCCTTTCAAATGTGAGTACTGTGGAAAAGGCTTTACCTTAAAAGGCTCTCTTGACAATCACATCAGAATTCACACAGGTGAGAAGCCGTTCTCCTGTACCCTTTGTGGCAAAAGTTTTTGTCAACAGGCTAGTTTGATTTACCACATGTCAACTCATGTGCAAAATGTTTGCCATCCATGAAACGGATCTTAAAAAGAAAGATGTATTGCTTCACATAAGAGAGGTCATGCAGGAGCCATAAATGAAAAGGTGCTTTGATCTTTGTTTGGGTTTTTAGCTGTTTTGTTTTTGATTTTATTTCTTTGTCCAGTTGGT